GTTTTTTTTTTTTTTTTTTTTGGTGCGTTGACCTTTTGAGAACCCCTACTCAATCCACAGCGAGTGAATGGGGCCGTGGGCCGTGCCCAACTTTTCGGCTTTTCTCCCTTAAGGCTTAAAATTCAATGCCGTGCCCGACTCTTTTTTTTTTTTTTTTTTTTTGGGATTGCCGTGCCCGACTTGTGGAGGTCTAGTTCTGGTTCCAAGGATTAAAAAAAAAACGGAAAAGAACTGGTCGCAGCGAGATCGTGGGGCGCAGTCCTAGCAAAGAGGATTGGATCAAGAGTCTGAATCTGGATGGCTTTTGAGCAGAGATGCAGAGAATCAGATTGATCGCGATTCTCTGCATCTCTCCACAATCACTTCCAGATTCAGGCGTCGAAGTCAATCCGCTTTGCTAGTACGAGCTCGTCCAATTCTATTCTGTTCATCTGAATGCATCTGGTTTGGAACTCTGGTGTGTGTATCAACTGGGCTACAGTCTTCCCCCGAACATAACGCACCCTGATAATGAATGTATATAAGCTATATTTCCGGTCAGATACAGCCAAAATAAGGGTGCGTTGTGGTCGGGGGAAAGAGGGTAGGCCCGTTGGTGCGTTGTGTACTCACAAGGGGAGTAGAATTGACACTTTTTTTTTTTTTCGTGATTTTCCGCATTAAATCCTCGTTATAAATGATCCAATTAGGATTTGCGTGGAACATAATCCGGAGGAGATTTTGTTGCTTTTCTTTTATTGACATTATTTACTACGTATTTACCCTCGCATTGCCTGTATTGGACCGGAATAATAGCATCTATACATTCAATCTCAGGGTGCCGATGTAATTTCCGCGATTTGACCATTTACTGAAATTCGGTACCAAACTCTTTAGAGCCTTCTTTTTTTTTTCTTTTTCTTTTGGGGAAATTTTCGAAATGCCCCTGAAGTTTGCGTTTATTTGCGATTCGCCCCTCCGACGGCCGACTTACCCTGATTTGCCCCTGGGGCCTCTGAACTTTCGAAAAGGCCCCTGTCAGTGAGGGGCACAACTTTTTGGAATGCGCCTACCGGTAGGCCGGTCCCATTTCCCGTGGTGGCTGTCCATTTTGCCCTTCTGCATTGGATGCATCTTCCTGGGATGCCCTCCAGCGGGGAGGCCCTCAGAATTCAAATTCAAACTCCTTGATTTTCGGGGCCTCCGCGCAAAAAGACAGGGCTCCACTCCACCTTGTGTCCACTGCTTCAATTCACCACAGAGTTCATTCTTCTGGTACTGCGACCTGCCGCGGCCTTGGACGTCCTCGGAGAACGTTGCCGAAGGTGAGTGTTCCTCCCCTTCTTCCACGCCTCTCTCTCTCTCTCTCTCTCTCTCTCTCTCTCTCTCTCTCT